AGTTAGTAAGCCAGGGCACGATACTATTCAATATACTGCTGCTCTATAGGCTGGATTTTTGATGTACACTAATAGCCTCTTTTTAGGCAGGTGAAACTAGATCTAAAGAATGTAGAGAGATTTACTGGCCTTGTAGACTGAAGCACCATCATTATTGGAAATGCAAAACAACCACTGTGAAAGAATAGTGAAATTTCAAGCGCTTTTGTGACTTCTCACATTATCAAGGAACTATATAGTTCCTTGATAATGTGAGAAGTCACGAAAGCTCTTGGAATTTCACTATTCTTTCACAGTGGTTGTTTTGCATATTCGGATATCACCTGTTTGTGATATCATTACATTATTGGAAATACTGAAAGTCCGCCCCCTAGATCGTACTCCTGAAGAACACGAAGGCACAATACTATGGCTTAAACAGGAGACAGATAACCCACACATAGGAGTAATAATTTGAACAACGTTTCAGTCCACCTTATGACCATTAACTAATCACACTAACACACGTAAGAAAGTTTCTTTTTCTGATGTGCGGGTTATGTGTATCGTACTTCCTGAAGAGAGAAAATGCGTAAGAATCTCTAATTGGGAAAACTCTGGAGGAACTGGTTTTAAATCTCGACCCATCCTCTTAATTCCCATAAAAATCTGTGGATTTCTTACATAATGTTTCCAGCAAATTTGTCAGGTTGTCATGTTTCTATTAATAGTTGACTACAACATACCACAACGCAAAAGCAAAAAAATCATGAATACAAGATAAAAGTGACGAAAATCTGTACGACGCGAACGGAATACTGATGCCGCGCTGAGGGCTGTAGAAATTACTATGAGAAGGTACCATAATCTGTCGCCCATTTGACACTCTTTACAACAGTGAAATGTCTGGATGGGCTGCAGTCAACACAGACATTAGTCTTTGAAGACGGTGCAAAGTGCTCGCTATGAAAGGTCAGGAGTGTAATAATTGCACGAAAAGATATAGCCAAAGGTCAGGTTATGAGAGTACAGCCCTGTTCTTTGCTGCATCATAATTTACACCTGGGGAATCCTGAGGGGATTGGTCAGAAATTTGCGCGTACACACACACACACACACACACACACACACACACACACACACACACACACACACACACACACACACACACACACACACACACACACACACACCCCACACACACAGAGGTACGATAAAGCTCATGGTTCAGGGAGAGTGACCTAGTAGCGACCAGTGAAGAGGCGGGGCCAGGAGTTTGGACTCGACCCCTGCAACCTCAACTAGGTGAAGTATACACAACACCTTGGGGTGACCATAACACCGAGCACATCACCGGAGGCACACATCAACCAAATAACCGCTGCAGCATACGGGCGCCTGGCAAACCTGAGAATAGCGTTCCGATACCTTAATAAGGAATCGTTCAAGACACTGTACACTGTGTATGTTAGGCCCATACTGGAGTATGCAGCACCAGTCTGGAACCCACACCTGGTCAAGCACGTCAAGAAGTTAGAGAAAGTACAAAGGTTTGCAACAAGTTAGTCCCAGAGCTCAAGGGAATGTCGTACGAGGAAAGGTTAAGGGAAATCGGACTGACGACACTGGAGGACAGAAGGGTCAAGGGAGACATGATAACGACATACAAGATACTGCGGGGAATAGACAAGGTGGACAGAGATAGGATGTTCCAGAGAGGGGACACAGGGACAAGGGGGTCACAACTGGAAGCTGAAGACTCAGACGAGTCACAGGGACGTTAGGAAGTATTTCTTCAGTCATAGAGTTGTCAGCAAGTGGAATAGCCTAGCAAGTGAAGTAGTGGAGGCAGGAACCATACATAGTTTTAAGAAGAGGTATGACAAAGCTCAGGAAGCAGAGAGAGAGAGGATCCAGTAGCGATCAGTGAAGAGGCGGGGCCAGGAGTGATATCGACCCCTGCAACCACAATTTGGTGATACATAGGTGATACACACAAGCACCATGCACACAGCACACGGCTACACACCGACATAACACTCACATACACACACCATACAACAACTACACAACACATAGCACACACACGTTACTCCGACAAAGCGAGTTTGGTGATGGCGCAAGTACTTCCATGAAAATAACGCTAGTAACAACCTGTTTGATCAGCCCTGATCCATCAGGATGCACTGGTCTGACGGGCCCGGGGTTGATCCGGATAAACCTCCAGGTAACCTCCAGGTAAGTACATATGTACACATACACATAGTAAGTACACGTGTACTCACAAAAGCAGGTGGTGGGTGTGGTTGAGGTACTTCTCTGTCCGTATTTAGGACGTCTTTAGTAAGACATTGTTTATGGTGTCAGAATATCATCTTAGGATACACTATTCTAGTGGTCCCTTGTTTTACATGGTGTGTAAAAGGTAGTGTAGGTGCAGTAAAGGAGCGGATGTTTCACTTAACGTGTCTTGCTGTGATGAAGACACGTGTCAGGAGGTACCATGTTGCTTCCTCACGAATATATCACCTCTACCAACTGTCCTCATCTTGTCTCTACTCTCCTCTCTCTCTCCTCCCCAGTCTCTCTTTGCTTTCTTCCCATCTCTCTCTTTGCCTCCCAGCCTCTCTGTGCTTTCCTCCCAGCCTCCTGCCCTCGCACTTCGTCCTAACCACCCTCCCTCCCTCCCTCCTTACTTTCTCAACTTCAGTTGAATTTTCTTGTCATGTTTGAGAACATGAGCAGTTGCGTAACCTTTTGTTTGTACTCTTTCTGTGTCATTTCTGTTTTTTTCTGTTTGACTTTTCATCATCTCACTTGAGTTTTATTCACACTCTTTTCACTATTTACTTTCATCATACCTTGTTTTATATGTTATTGTGCAGCAATTAACCTAGCAATTCTCCATATTTGCTGCATCCTTGTCCCTGTTTGAATCTTCTAGTGTTACCTGTATTATATTTGTAGGCAGTTCTGGGGGTTGCTGCCTCCTGTGGTTCGGTTCCAGACCAAGCTTACTGGTTGCTGGCCTGATCGACCAGGCTATTGGTACTGGCCACATGCAGTCCAAAATATGCTTCATGACCTGGCTGATCAGGAACTGACTTAAACAAAGCTTTTCTTAGGTCCCCTTGCACTTGTTAAATTCTCAGTATACTCATCACTTCCTTGCATTTTATTTTGTACTGTCTCCCAAGTTTCTTTCTTCATATTGAGTGATTTCAGTGTACAGATTTCCCAGGTGTAAATTATGATGTACCTTTTTCGTCTACATTCCAAGGAATACAGATCAAGGGACTTGAAGTTTTTCCAGTAGTTTAAATGCTTGAATGAATTTATATGAGGAGTGAAGGTTCTCTGTTTTGTAACACTTCTCAGGAGGAAACTTGACAAATGCCAGGTCAGCCAGGCTGTAATGGCTGTGTGAGGCAGCTAGCTCTCAGCAGCAACAGCTCGTGGCAGACAGGCCCGGACCAGGGCCTGGTCTGCTGAAGTAGGAAGATTTGGCCTCTACCAGATCAACCAGGCTGTGATGGATTTATCAGTTGACAGACCACCACCACCAGCTCTGAGAGTAGCGAAACTCTCGAAACTCTGCGAAGGTATATATCATGGGTAAGATATACCAGCAACAGCAACATCCTGGTTGACCAGGCTAGCACCAGACGAACCTAGCCTGATGGCCGGGCTCCAGGAGTAGAAAAACTCTGGAAACTCATCAAAGGTATATCAGAGGTATAGTATATGACAGGTTGAAGAGACAAAACAGTGATGTTACACAACTGTTGCACATGTCTTCCCATCTCTCATTATTGTTTGTTATATTAATTGTCCTGATTATTCAGTTCCAATTATTCCACTCTCCTGATGCTGGATCACCTTTCCATGTGGGGAAATTTTAAAATCCACCGTTATTGATCCACTCCGCATAACTAGTAGTAAAGTGGTTTCAAAAAACTATAGACCAATAGTGCTAAGTGCTAACATCACATCAGACTCTTTGAAAGAAAGATTACCAGCTATGTAATTACATTGAGGTTACTTTTTAACAATTGCACAACCATTATAAAATGTTCTTTGATGCTCTGGAAGGTGAGCAAACTGCGGATGTGGTGTACACTGACTGATGTGGGCATGTTATGTAGCTAGTTGTCTGTATATTCACTTTCCATGTGTTGTCATCATTTTAGTTCTTCTCATGAGAGCATCTGTTTCCTCAAGGAGGTTGCTTAGTGCTGGTGAAGAATTCTTGATTAAAGGAACAGGAGCTATCCCTCTTTCCACATTTAAAGCTGATTACCAGGTGCTCTACAACTCCTATGGGTTTAGTGTTCTCCATGAATATAATATACCTTGTCAGATCCCATGAATACAGCCTCTCCTCACTTAGCTACGTACTCATTTACCGACGCCTAGGATTTACAATGGGCTCTCTGACCAGTATATATATACGTACATAAATAATGTATATTAGAGCTTATTTCCTCTATTCTGTTTATTTCAGTATACAGTACACTACTGTACTATAAACATTTAAAAATACACCAGAAATGTTAAAAATTGTGCAAAAGTGACATTAAAACAGTATCAAAGATGATTGACACAAACCCACCATTCATTATAGTATGCTCCTCACTTAGTGATGAATTCGTTTAATGACTTGGTCTTAGAAATGGAACTCCATTGTTAAATGAGGAGAAGCTGTATTTAGTATTTTGTGCCTGCCTAGTTATGTTTGCAAGAAGATAAATTAGACACATGTGCAACACATAGGAATCTCCATTGAAGTAATATTTGCCACACAGTGGCAAAACATTTCCTCAATAAGATTCCCAAGCGTTGCATGTGTTTAATTTATGAACTTGTCAGTTCACTGAACCATTCACTTTTATACATGTTTACAGGAGTTGGGTCTGGGATGTCTGTGTGTTCAGAAAATCAGTTGCTGGCTGCTTGTTGTTTTAAATCTGATGTTTATGGGTTTCAAATTATGATTTTTGCTCATTTATTTTTATTTGCAGGGTCTGCGCTGAGCGAGTATGTGAGCCAGTTTGAGGTGCTGCGGTATGACTCCCAAGTGGTGCACAGAAACCACCAACGGGTCAAGAGGTCCCTCTACACTGATGAACAGGTAATGTGTCTTCTTCCTTCAACTCTACTAAAACTGTTTTCTCCTTTCTCTCCTCCCCCTCCCTCTCCTCCCCATTTTTGTTTACCTCCTCTTCTCTCCACTTCTACACTGTTGGGACAAGTGAAGAAATCTTCAAGAGGAAACTCGATCAGTATCTCCGCCAAATACCACATCAACCAGGCTGTGATGGATGTGTGGACCAGCGGGCTGCCAACGAGAACTAGGCTTTATTTACAAGAGGCTTTTAAGGTGGTACAATAAAAGTTGGAGACTTGAGAAAAATTTGAAAATTATCTTTCCTCTCTTTAATGTAATAGTTAGAGTATGGTAGTTATGTGTTGCTACAGAACTGTTTTGCTGGAAATCACTTTGTCAGCTTTTCAGCTAAAGAAATTGTATATTTTGCTTCATTGAACTGAATTTTTTTTTTTTTTTTTTTTTTTTTTGTTGCATGTTTTAATAAGTAATATTGAAGTACTCTCAATATTTGTTTGAATCGTATTGTCCTTCGATAATTTAAAATTATGTCCATTTATTAGATCATCTGTTACTAGTTGTCTAGCACTTGCTGGACTGCATGCTGCTACCATCAGCAGCTTGGTTGATCAAGCCATCCAGCAGAAGGCCTAGTCTGGGACCAGACTGCAGGGGCATTGATCCCTGATACCTACTCCATGTAGGTACAGTATAATGAAAGTAAAATAGTTATCTGAAGGTTTCCTAAAGATTTTGAGGGTCATCACCGCTGTGGCTTGGTCCCAGACCCAGGCCTTCTGGTTGATTGCCTGACCAACCAGGATATTTAGTGCTGTCAAAATTCTTGTTTCATAACACCAAATGAGTTACCTTGTAATTTGGTCTTGACATCCCTATTGTTCACTGGGGGTATTTTGCACCATTTATTAAGCCTCTGGCTTTTGTAGTGAGTGATTTCCAAGTGTAGATTTGGGACCTGTCCCTCTTGAATTTTCCAGGTGTAAATTATGAGATGTTTTACTTGCATTGCAGGGAATGCCATTCAAGGGACTTGGTATTCTCAGTAATTTACAAGCTTCACTGAATTTATATGGGCAGTGAAGGTTAACTATACATTTCCTACTGCATTAAAGCAAGCTGATTAACTCTATCTTTTCTTTTTTCCCTAGTTCTCTTTTGAACAGTCTTTTTCCTGATAATTCTTTCTGGAATTTTTTAAATATTTTTTTGACCACCATATAAACCATTTTGACACTGACATATTTAATATATAAACTGAATAAGAGACTACAAAATTGAGTACAGCAGTTTTGTTTACTTGCAGCTGACTATATCTTTTGCATCACACGGGCGGTCGTTCCACCTGCGTTTGAAGCGGGACACGCAAACCATTAGCCCATTTGTGAAAGTAGAAGTCCCAGCTGATCTAGAAGGCCTAGATTTTAGTCACATATATGAAGGGACCCTTCAAAGTGAGTTAATTCTGTATAATGCACAATGTTATTGTTCTTGTTAGTACTGTAATGCAAGTTTACAGTTGTAAAATGTACTGAGTTATGTCACAAGAAGCAAATAATGTATTAATTTCTCTGGTCTTAATATTCATATTGGCACAAAAATGCACATTTTTGTTAAATGCTTCACTTAGGGAAGTTATTGGCATTTCAAAAAAAAAAATATATATAAATTTTAAATGCATCAGTGTGCTAACTTTCATGGTTAAGTTGATGGCTTTATGTTAACTGTTTTTGTTTCACTTGCAGATGACCCAGGGTCTAAGGTGTGGGGCAGCATACGGGATGGGGTATTTGAGGGTGTGATAGCCAGCGAGCGTGATGGCACCTTCTATGTTGAACATGCCCATAAGTACTTCCCACGTCATAATTCCACTCATGCGGGCTTCCACTCTGTTATATATCATAACGATCATGTGGATGACCCCTACACAAAAGTTCGGGAAGGGCACACCTCTGGTTGTGGGGCGACGGATGACGTGGCTGCCTGGATGGACAGTGTTCAAAACTCTGCAGATTTAGAAGAGGAGAAAGAAGCTGCAGCCAGGCGATACTTAGAAATGCCAGCCCACCTCCGTAGTCAGTACAAATACAAAAAATGGTTGGATACACAAGATAAATATAGAACGGTTCAAGAAGAAAGTGGATTTCATGGCATATATGACAGTATTCTAGATGATTATCACAACAAGTACAGTGAGGAAGTAAACTTGCGACATAAAAGAGCCGTTGGGATTGGCGTTGGAGAAGACAATAAGGGAACTTGTTCTCTCTCCATACAGACTGACCCCATGTTGTGGCATCATATATATAAACAGGTAAGCAGTCAATGTCTTCAAACTGAAGTTTTGTATGGTATCTCATGATCTTCCTCTACTGCCTTCTTCACCTCAATTGCCCTCTTTAACTCTTCCTTCTTACATTTTGTCTTGGCGTATTTGGTAATACTTGCCTAACTGTACTTGCAAGTCATAGTTCCTGACTCTGCCTCTTACCTCAGTGTTGGCTTGTCTAAGATGTTTTATTCTTTATATCAAGAGATTTTTATAATTTAGAAATGACACATACAAGACAAAGTATGTGGAGAGAAAAAGCTAGGCTGAGAATGGTGAGGAAATGCATAAATGGAGCCAATGAAAGAATGGGGTGAAACTATCAGTAAATTTGGCTGAAAATAAGAACAGTTTTGGAGGGAGATTAATAAGTTGAGAAAGCCTGGAGAGTAGATGGACTAGACAGTCAAAAATGAAAGTGGGAGACATTTGATTATGTGCTGGGAAGATGCAGAATATTTTAAGGGGCTGTTATATGTTGATAAAAGGGAAGCAGTGATTTCATGCATTGGACAAAGAGGAATAATATCTTTTAGGAGCAAGAAAGAGTCAGGTGTGTGTGTGTGTGTGTACTTGCCTAGATGTGATTGCAGGGGATGAGTCACAGCTTCTGTGTACGCGGATGATGGGGGAGCGCATGAGACAGTGGGTAGATTGAAAAGTGGGTAAAGCAGCTGGGACAAATGAGATTGAGATGTTAAATGCAGGTGGGGATGTAGTTTTTTGGATTGGTTAGCATATTTTTTCAATACAGTGGTGCTTAGTTTCATACAAAATTCGTTCCAGAAGGCTGTTCGAGTCCTGTTACCAAACGAATTTGTTCCCATAAGGAATAATGTAAATTAGATTAGTCTGTTTCAAACCCCAAAAATTATACTTAAAAATGCACTTACAATAATACACTTAAATAATTGTTCAAGTTGGGAGCTGTACGAAACTCGGGGTACCAATGTATTTGCATTAAAGAAGGGAAGGTATCTAAGGATATGCAAAGTTCATTTGTACAATGCAAAAGAAGGACAAGACAGTGAATAAGAATTATGGGGAAAAATGACTGTTTAGTATTCTGGGTAAATTACATGGAAGGATTATTATTGATGGATTTAGGGTTAACATGCAAAATTAAGAAGGAGGATTTAGGAGGAGTATGTGTAGACAATGTTGTATACAAATGATCATTACTTAAGGGTAAAGAAGTGTTTGTTGCATTTATGGGTTTAGGACAGGAACCTAAGAGTACATGAACTGTTGTGAGTCTCATCATGGTGAGGATGTAAAAATAAGTCACTGGCATTTTGGGTTATCCTTGATTATTAACCTTCTGAGGGTAATAATCAGTGATACTACTATCACAGTATTATTACTGTATATTAAGGCATTTTATTATAATTATTACTTTTATTTATTTTTCATTTATGTACTGTGTCATGTGCATGCTGGAAAAACAAAATATTGATATTTTGTGTTTTTTTCACTCTGTCGCCAGGAGGGAAATGATAAGGAGAAGACGCGTGATGAGATCACAGCAATGATCTCGCAACACATAAAAGCGATAAACCATATATATGCTAATGTCAAGTTCAATGGCAAGTACAAACACAGAAACATCAGATTTGAAGTCCAGAGAATCAAGGTGAGCACAGTGCTGTATGATGCTTTATTTGGTATTTTAAGAAAATTGTATATAACCAACTAATCTTATGAGTTGCAAGTTAGGCTTGTAATTAAGACATATTACCGTTTTGAACTATAGTATCGGCGTCCCTTTGGCAAGACGGTGATGGTGTGAGTGATGATGGAAGTTTCTTCATTTTTTGGGTCACCTTGCCTTGTGGAAAATGACCAATGTGTTAATAAAAATAAAATGGTTCAAGGTGCAATTACCTACAGTATTTGTAATTAGCCAGACCTCTGTATTTGTGAGGGCTGCATTCTTGGAAACTTTCAAGTATGGAACAATATTCAGACATTCTCTTCAACACTAACAGCCTGGACGAGTAAGGAATGTAGTGTAGTAAATATTGGTCAGTGCTGCTAATACAGTACAGACTGGTTCCTTTATGGGTGCATAAATGCTATAAACACTATCGAGTGAGGCAGGCAGGCAGGTAAGGTGCTTCCTTGGTGTGGTATGGGAGGCAGAGGTAAAAGGGGAAAGGGGCATCCAGTACTATATGTACTAGTCCTTTTAGGAGATAAAAGTGTTAAGTTATATTCCTAAGGTTCATGAGTATCTGTACTAAGAAAAGTATTAGTTTATTTACTTTTATTGTTTTCTAGAGGGTGTAACAGCTTTTGTTACTATATTATAATTTGGCCACTCTATACAATTTAATGGGTCAGTACTCACTGCATGTCTGCTGTTTATTGGAGATATTTTGCAACTTCTGCCGAGCATCTTGCCTTCGTCGGGAGTGATTTCAGTGGCAAGATTTGGAACCATTCCTTACAGAATTTTCCAGGAGTAGATTTATAATGCATCTTTCTCGCTTGTGTTCCAAGGAGTACAGTTTGAGGGAGTCGGTATTCTCAGTAATTTGTGATGACTGAATTTATATGGACAGTGAAGGCTCCCTATGCATTCTCCAGATCTCTTAATTTTTTCTGCCAAAACTTTGACTACATTTATGTTATTAAACAGGTAAGTGAAAATTACTGAAGTGAATCTTAATGTGCAGACCAATACTTCCTTGTATTTCTGGTTTTTCCCTCAGTCACATTTAATGTACACAGGTATCCATATGTTGTTGTCAGATAGTCTTTAATATGGATCCGTGTGAAAGCTGTAAATATTACATTGGACTTGGTGAGAAGTCTGCCAATAAATGTTATTTTGCTGTGAATAACAAAAAGGCACAATGCCATGACTGGAACAATATACAAATCATCCGCACATAGGAGAGAGGAGCTTATGACGTTTCGGTCTGACTTGGACCATTTACGAAGCTCCTCTCTCCTATGTGTGGGTTATTTGTGTATTATTTTGTTCTGGTTTGCTTTAAGATCTTTGCAAACAAGAATGATGACGTATTTGCTATGGAGAGAAAGTTTTAAGAGTGTTAGCAGCATTAATATCCACAGCTCTTATATACCAGATGCTGGCTCTGTTTCCGGTTCAACCAGGTGGTTATGCATTCTTATCATTACTTGCCAATCTTTTCTGTTTTGCTTCCTGGAGAAAAAATAAAATCTAATTTTTTAAGGACAAAAGATCTTAATTGAAGCACTGTACTGTATCTTTTTTTTATTATTAGCGAAGGAGAATGTTGGAACTTATTGTATCCATAGATGTGGAGATTTAGTCGAAAACATCAGCAAGAGCTTAGTGTATTCATTAAATTCCTGTATAAGTATAGTGAGCTATAATAGTGTATTTTGTTTCAGATTGACGATGATAAGCCATGTCGTGCTAATTATGTGGGCGAGACCAACAAATTTTGTAAAGCTAATGTAGATGTAAGTAACTTTCTCAACTTGCATTCCCAAAAGAAGCATGACGACTTCTGTCTGGCATACGTGTTCACCTTCAGAGATTTCACTGGAGGTACTCTTGGGCTGGCTTGGGTTGCATCACCTTCAGGTAATTTGTGGCCTACCTACTTGTTAAAATACTGGTTAAACATTAATAAGTTTCCAAAAATATTTGTTGATTCACACCCATTTATATTGTCTACACACCCATCAGGATGGATCTTGACACTCGTGTTGGTAAACTCCTCTCTTAACTTGCAGGCGCCTCTGGGGGCATATGTGAAAAGTACAAAACCTACACCGAGAACTTGGGAGGCTTCCGTCATTCTGAAAAGCGTTCCCTAAATACTGGCATCATAACATTCCTCAACTACAACTCTAGGGTGCCACCCAAAGTTTCTCAGCTCACTTTAGCTCATGAGATTGGCCATAATTTTGGCTCACCCCATGACTTTCCTGAGACTTGCAAACCAGGAGGGCTGCAGGGAAACTTCATTATGTTCTCGTCAGCCACGAGTGGAGATCGCCTCAACAACGACAAATTTTCCCCTTGTTCTGTTCGCAACATTTCCTTGGTGCTCGATGCTATTTCAGAAAAGAGAAGAACGAATTGTTTCACTGAGAATAATGGTGCCTTCTGTGGTAACAAGATTGTTGAGGAAGGGGAGGAGTGTGATTGTGGTTTTGACATGGATGAATGCCAAGAAAAATGCTGTTATCCACTTAAAATATCAGCAGCTGATAAGATGCTAAACCCTTCGGCCAAAGAATGTACACGCAAGAACAACACACGGTGCAGGTAATGATCTCCCAGATTTTCTAATTCCATTCCCTGTTCCATTCATTATACACCAACCCTTCAATTTAACAGATTTCAGGAATGCAGGACAAACTCTGCTGGCTCAGCTGATTTGGAAACGTGTCTTGTTATCTATAGAATTGTCGGTTATTGTTACAATCAATCACAGGAAAACAGTTTAGTCTCCAGCCACCATAACTGTCATTACCAGCCACTTACTTTCCCTATTAGTCTGTTGAACCAAGGGTTGACTGTATCTCAATGTATTATTCCTAATAATGTATATACTATACATGTATGTACTGTTTTTCTTGAAGGTCTTCCTAATTTTCTTTACCTTACATTATCCCATCAATATACAGTATACTGTACTGTCTTCATTTTATGTCATTATTTGTTGCTTAGTTCTTTTGTTTATCCATCTTCTTTCTGTACATTCTTGAAAAAAAAAATAAAAAAAAATCCCACATGTTGGCCACGTTTGGTGGTCAACACGTGGGAAGTTTTTTTTTTTTGCATAAGTCCTTTTGCAATTATAAATGCTCAGTCAAGTGTCTTTATAACTCTGGAAGATATTTTCTGTGCCTGGGGAGGAGTATACTTGTGGGATGAAATGTGAATGGATAGAATGCCTGTTTAACCTAGTACCGGGCCTTGGGGGGGCATTGACCCTCAGAACACTCTCAAGGTAATGATCATATTTCTCTCCCACAGTTTGCAGGGTCTTTTCCTTAACTACATCTAGGTAACTGACATCATAATATTACTTTAGTCACTGGTTCTTCCAGTACCTAGCAAGAACGAACTACAGTGGTACTCCAAGTTTCAAACTTATATCATTCCTGAATGCTGTTTGAGTGCCAATACCAAACGAATTTGTTCCCATAAGGAATAATGTAAATGAGATTAGATTAGTCCATTTCAGACCCCCAAAAATACACTTACAAACACACTTTCACAAATACACTTACATAGTTGTTCGAGTTGGAAGCAGTTCAAAACTCGGGGTACCACTTTACAGGTATTATAATGTTAGCTCAAGAATAGGCAGATACTTTGAAAATAATTTTGGCAGTTTAAAACCTTTTGATATAGCTTTGTGGTCTTTGTCTGTATTTACTGTTATATATATATATATGTATTCTCAAATAATTTTGCCCTCTACAGTACGTAGCGGGTGTTTCCTTTCCGACAGACTTGGAGAACTTTATTGTTTGTTTTATGGAAAGTAAGGCTTAATTTTTTTCCCCTTATGTTCACTTTGTCAGAATCCTGCATCTACATGTATCATCAGGTATAACTGAAAGCAGTGGTTTATATAACATGAGTAGGCAGATGATGATAGTTGGGATCATATTACTGTAAAAAAAAAAAAAAAAAATCTTTCAGCCCTAGTGAAGGACCGTGTTGTGACCGTGAAAAGTGTACCTTTGTGCAGGACATCCAGTGCCACACTGAGACAGACTGCGAAGAATCTGCCTATTGTGAAGGAGATAAGGCATCTTGCCCTCAACCAGTTCCAAAAGAGGAATACAAGGAATGCAATGAAGGCACAAAGGTAGGACTATTGAAGTTCTGTGACCAGCAAAATGTCTAACAAGTTGCTATATACTCTACATCAATATTACCTAACCATTTTACATTTAAATTTCTAGGAATGCTTAAGTGGTATGAAACACATTTAGTGCATAATACCTATTTGCAAGAGTTGTCCTTCCTAGATTCTTTGATGTTATATCTTTGCTCTACACTGCCTATTTTTGTCGGTCACTTTTAATATATTGTATTAGATGTGATTCTTTGGGATAACTTCTATGAAAGTATCCAAAAATGGAAATTTGATTAAAATAGTTGAATTAAATTACTGTTTATTAGAAATAATTGGTTAATCATTGATGTCTCTAAAGTAATTGAAGTGTAAAAGAAGTCATTAATAGTTTGCTTCTGTGATTATCCTCAGGTGTGCACCAAGGGAAAATGTAGTGGGTCAATCTGCCTTGCTAAAGGAATGAAGGAATGTTTCCTCACTTCTGACCGTGTACACGACAAGAAGAAGCTTTGCGAGATAGCTTGCCAGATTGGGAACGACAGCTCGAGCTGCAAGTCCACATCAGAGTTGAAAGATGTGTTTGGTGGTGGACCTGTGTTTATGAGGCCAGGAGCACCATGCAATAACTTCCAGGTGAGATGTTACTGCAGTTAATGTTTTACTCTTGGTTACTTGAAATGTTAGGCTCAGTGCATGCTGATATTGCTGCTGTTCTGTGCTGGGAAAGATGTTATGTATTAGTTTTTAACATGCTGGCTACAGTCTAAAAGGTTTAAATTTTGTAATATCGCCTACAAACTGAGGGTGTATTAATTTTTTCACTAATTTTAATTTTACAAGAAATTATGTGTCGTCAATTTCTGTAGAATCTGATGTAACATTAGGTTAAACTTAAAAGATTTACATTATAATGATTAAAATGCATTGCCATTCAACTTGTATTATTTTGTACTACATACTATATTGTAAAAGGATAAAAATAATCGACCTGAGATGTTATAAAATGCCAATTACTCATTTCCTCCCAATAAATTGCTTGTACAGTAAACCATTGCTGTCACCATTTCACGCTTGTATGTTAAGATTGGAACATTGTCCTTCATGCATAACAGGATATATATACAGGAAGGCCCCACTTACACAGCAGGTCAGGTTCTGGGCTACCACTGTAAAGTGCAACATAGTCTTTTTTTACTTTCAGATGCATCTAAAAGCCTGATAACACATGTTTACACTATCACATATTAAGTGAGCAATAGTACATATACAGTACACACATTACTTCTTCTTTCAACGCACCAGCCATATCCCACTGAGGTGGGGCGGCCCAAATGGGCAATGGTTTTAAGTTGGAAAAAATTCAGATTCAGGAAGGATATAGGAAAGTACTGGTTTGGTAATAGAGTTGTGGATGAGTGGAACAAACTCCCAAGTACAGTTATAGAGGCCAGAACGTTGTGTAGCTTTAAAAATAGGTTGGATAAATACATGAGTGGATGTGGGTGGGTGTGAGTTGGACCTGATAGCTTGAGCTACCAGGTCGGTTGCCGTGTTCCTCCCTTAAGTCAATGTGACCTGACCTGACTAGGTTGGGTGCATTGGCTTAAGCCGGTAGGAGACTTGGACCTGCCTCGCCTGGGCCAGTAGGCCTTCTGCAGTGTTCCTTCGTTCTTATGTTCTTAAAAGGAAAAACGAAAGTTTCGTCTTTTAAATTTAGTAATACATACAGGAGAAGGGGTTACTAGCCCCTTGCTCCTGGCATTTTAGTCACCTCTTACGACATGCATGGCTTACGGAGGAAGAATTCTGTTCCACTTCCCCATGGAGAACACATTACTTGCCTTAAAATATTTTTTTCCTTAGCTTATGGTGAGTGATAAATATATATATAGTAGGAAGTCTTGAGTAAGTGAAGAATGGGTATAATTGAAACCTGCTTCATTAGGAAAACAGTAAAGTGAAGCACTTTAAAGTGGGGCCTGCCTGTATTCAGGTGTGTATCTGTGTATATACACAGTTTACCTTAAACCTTGTTTTAGGGCTTAAAGCATTCTTGACTGGTGGTGAACAAGCGATATGCAGCCTTGTAGTGATAGGCTTTAAAGCCTATCAGTCACAATACACTAGGAGCTAAGACACTGCTAGTGTATTGGTAGTAATTCTTCATGATAATAATGAAGGTAGTAGGTTGGTAGACAGCAACCACCCAGGGAAGTACTACCGTCCTGCCAGATGACTGTGAAACAGAAACCTGTAACTGTTTTGCATGATGGTAGGATTGCTGGTTTCTTTTTCTGTCTCATAAACACGCTGGATAACAGGGATATCTTGCTACTCCTACTTACACTTTGGTCACACTTCACAGACACGCACATGTATATATATATACATACATCTAGGTTTTTCTCCTTTTTCTAAATAGCTCTTGTTCCTCTTTATTTCTTTTATTGTCCATGGGAAAGTGGAAAAGAATCTTTCCTCCGTAAGCCATGCGTTCGTATGAGGCGACTAAAATGCCGGGAGCAATGGGCTAGTAACCCCTTCTCCTGTAGACATTTACTAAAAAAGAGAAGAAGAAAAACTTTATAAAACTGGGATGCTTAAATGTGCGTGGATGTAGTGCGGATGACAAGAAACAGATGATTGCTGATGTTATGAATGAAAAGAAGTTGGATGTCCTGGCCCTAAGCGAAACAAAGCTGAAGGGGGTAGGGGAGTTTCGGGGGGGGGAAATAAATGGGATTAAATCTGGAGTATCTGAGAGAGTTAGAGCAAAGGAAGGGGTAGCAGTAATGTTGAATGATCAGTTATGGAAGGAGAAAAGAGAATATGAATGTGTAAATTCAAGAATTATGTGGATTAAAGTAAAGGTTGGATGCGAGAAGTGGGTCATAATAAGCGTGTATGCACCTGGAGAAGAGAGGAATGCAGAGGAGAGAGAGAGATTTTGGGAGATGTTAAGTGAATGTATAGGAGCTTTTGAACCAAGTGAGAGAGTAATTGTGGTAGGGGACCTGAATGCTAAAGTAGGAGAAACTTTTAGAGAGGGTGTGGTAGGTAAGTTTGGGGTGCCAGGTGTAAATGATAATGGAGCCCTTTGATTGAACTTTGTATAGAAAGGGGTTTAGTTATAGGTAATACATATTTTAAGAAAAAGAGGATAAATAAGTATACAAGATATGATGTAGGACGAAATGACAGTAGTTTGTTGGATTATGTATTGGTAGATAAAAGACTGTTGAGTAGACTTCAGGATGTACATGTTTATAGAGGGGCCACAGATATATCAGATCACTTTCTAGTTGTAGCTACACTGAGAGTAAAAGGTAGATGGGATATAAGGAGAATAGAAGCATCAGGGAAGAGAGAGGTGAAGGTTTATAAACTAAAAGAGGAGGCAGTTAGGGTAAGATATAAACAGCTATTGGAGGATAGATGGGCTAATGAGAGCATAGGCAATGGGGTCGAAGAGGTATGGGGTAGGTTTAAAAATGTAGTGTTAGAGTGTTCAGCAGAAGTTTGTGGTTACAGGAAAGTGGGTGCGGGAGGGAAGAGGAGCGATTGGTGGAATGATGATGTGAAGAGAGTAGTAAGGGAGAAAAAGTTAACATATGAGAAGTTTTTACAAAGTAGAAGTGATGCAAGGAGGGAAGAGTATATGGAGAAAAAGAGAGAGGTTAAGAGAGTGGTGAAGCAATGTAAAAGAGAGGCAAATGAGAGAGTGGGTGAGATGTTATCAACAAATTTTGTTGAAAATAAGAAAAAGTTTTGGAGTGAGATTAACAAGTTAAGAAAGCCTAGAGAACAAATGGATTTGTCAGTTAAAAATAGGAGAGGAGAGTTATTAAATGGAGAGTTAGAGGTATTGGGAAGATGGAGGGAATATTTTGAGGAATTGTTAAATGTTGATGAAGATAGGGAAGCTGTGATTTCGTGTATAGGGCAAAGAGGAACAACATCTTGTAGGAGTGAGGAAGAGCCAGTTGTGAGTGTGGGGGAAGTTCGTGAGGCAGTAGGTAAAATGAAAGGGGGTAAGGCAGCCGGGATTGATGGGGATAAAGATAGAAATGTTAAAAGCAGGTGGGGATATAGTTTTGGAGTGGTTGGTGCAATTATTTAATAAATGTATGGAAGAGGGTAAGGTACCTAGGGATTGGCAGAGAGCATGCATAGTTCCTTTGTATAAAGGCAAAGGGATAAAAGAGAGTGCAAAAATTATAGGGGGATAAGTCTGTTGAGTATACCTGGCAAAGTGTATGGTAGAGTTATTATTGAAAGAATTAAGAGTAAGACAGAGAATAGGATAGCAGATGAACAAGAGGCTTTAGGAAAGGTAGGGGGTGTGTGGACCAGGTGTTTACAGTGAAACATATAAGTGAACAGTATTTAGATAAGGCTAAAGAGGTCTTTGTGGCATTTATGGATTTGAAAAAGGCGTATGACAGGGTGGATAGGGGGGCAATGTGGCAGATGTTGCAGGTGTATGGTGTAGGAGGTAGGTTACTGAAAGCAGTGAAGAGTTTTTATGAGGATAGTGAGGCTCAAGTTAGAGTATGTAGGAAAGAGGGAAATTATTTCCCAGTAAAAGTAGGCCTTAGACAAGGATGTGTGATGTCACCGTGGTTGTTTAATATATTTATAGATGGGGTTGTAAGAGAAGTAAATGCGAGGGTCTTGGCAAGAGGCATGGAGTTAAAAGATAAAGAATCACACATAAAGTGGGAGTTGTCACAGTTGCTCTTTGCTGATGACACTGTGCTCTTGGGAGATTCTGAAGAGAAGTTGCAGAGATTGGTGGATGAATTTGGTAGGGTGTGCAAAAGAAGAAATTGAAAGTGAATACAGGAAAGAGTAAGGTTATGAGTATAACAAAAAGATTAGGTGATGAAAGATTGGATATCAGATTGGAGGGAGAGAGTATGGAGGAGGTGAATGTATTCAGATATTTGGGAGTGGACATGTCAGCGGATGGGTCTATGAAAGATGAGGTGAATCATAGAATTGATGAGGGGAAAAGGGTGAGTGGTGCACTTAGGAGTCTGTGGAGACAAAGAACTTTGTCCTTGGAGGCAAAGAGGGGAATGTATGAGAGTATAGTTTTACCAACGCTCTTATATGGGTGTGAAGCATGGGTGATGAATGTTGCAGTGAGGAGAAGGCTGGAGGCAGTGGAGATGTCATGTCTGAGAGCAATGTGTGGTGTGAATATAATGCAGAGAATTCGTAGTTTGGAAGTTAGGAGGAGGTGCGGGATTACCAAAACTGTTGTCCAGAGGGCTGAGGAAGGGTTGTTGAGGTGGTTCGGAGATGTGGAGAGAATGAAGCGAAACAGAATAACTTCAAGAGTGCATCAGTCTGTAGTGGAAGGAAGGCGGGGTAGGGGTCGGCCTAGGAAAGGTTGGAGGGAGGGGGTAAAGGAGGTTTTGTGTGCGAGGGGCTTGGACTTCCAGCAGGCATGCGTGAGCGTGTTTGATAGGAGTGAATGGAGACAAATGGTTTTTAATACTTGACGTGCTGTTGGAGTGTGAGCAAAGTAACATTTATGAAGGGGTTCAGGGAAACCGGCAGGCCGGACTTGAGTCCTGGAGATGGGAAGTACAGTGCCTGCACTCTGAAGGAGGGGTGTTAATGTTGCAGTTTAAAAACTGTAGTGTAAAGCACCCTTCTGGCAAGACAGTGATGGAGTGAATGATGGTGGAAGTTTTTCTTTTTCGGGCCACCCTGCCTCGGTGGGAATAGGCCAGTGTGATAATAAAAAAAAAAATAATGAAGCAGATATTATGAAAAATTGGGTGTCAATCTGAGCAACATTAACACTTTCTTCTACTGTACTTTCCTATACGTTTGTATTAAGTACTTTTACACTTAGTGTAAAATATATTTTGTATGGTGAAAGACTGGGTTGTGGTAGCACTGGTTCTTGAAACAGTCACAAGGTAGAAACCAAATAGGCAGAAGTCAATATTCTATAATTTAAAGATTTTGTTTTGTCCTTTTGAGTAACATACTTTTACAAATAGTAATTTTTTTTTAGGGTTACTGTGATGTCTTCCAAAAATGCCGTGCAGTAGATGCAGAAGGACCATTAGCCCGCCTAAAAAACCTACTATTCAACCAGGACACCCTGAACAGTGTTGCAGAATGGATTACAGTAAGTTAACTTAGGATTTTTTATTTTCAATAAAGCTTGCCTCTTTATGTAAGTACAGTGGACCCTCGGTTATCGGACGTAATCCATTCCAGAAGGTCGGCTTAAAAGCGAAATGGCCTAAAACTGAAATAATATTTCCCATAAGAATTAATGTAAATACAATTGATCTGTTCCAGACGTTCCAGACACAAAAAAATAATTTTTTTAAATAATTTTACACAAAACAATGAAAACTAAATAAAATAAATACATGAACAGTTAAATCAGTATTACATACCTTTATTGAAGAATCTTGTTGTCGTATGGAAGACAGGGAGGAGAGAGAGAGAGAGAGAGAGTTGGGGTTATTGTTTGGAAGGGGAATCCCCCTCCATAAGGACTTCAGGTATCACAGTGCTCTCTGGGGTTACTTCCCTTCCTGCCTGCTACACTCCCTGCATGCCTGCTATACTCCCTACCTTCCTCCTACACTCCCTGCTACACCTTGCCTTCCTACTACACTCCCTGCCTGTCTGCTACACTCCCTCCCTCCATGCTACGCTCCCTGCCTCCCTTTCACACTCCCTGTTTCCCTGCTACACCCCACATCAGCTTCCTTGATTTGTTCTTTCTTTGCCAGGATAGAAGTGATCATTGATTTGTTTTTCCCATACATCCTGGCAAGCTCAAGCACTCAAAGGCAACTCATATTTTTTAACAATTTCCTTCTTCAATTCCATGGTGTTTCTCACTTTCTTTACCAAAGGAACTTTACTAGGGACTTTCTTTGGGACCATGGTTACTTATTTCTTAGTTGCACTTAATGAATAACCACCAAAAACAATGGAAACGTTTGGATGAATAAGCAGAAGCTTCCTCACTCGCCCAGAGACACAGCAAGACTGATGCCAACTCCTGGTGGCCGGCCACTGACTCGTACCATACGGCTGATAAGCGGAATAATGGCTGATTAACGGAAGCCAAAAAATCAGCCGATAACCGAGGGTCCACTGTATGTTTAAGTAATGTGTATAATTCTTAATTATCTATAAAAATAATGTAAATAACTATGCCTGCAGTATGTAATTGTATAAATAGTTTTTCAGAATAGTCGTAATAGTTAAGAGTTATTTACCAGTGGTTTTAACCTGGGGTAATAACTGATGTAAGGGGAAAAGTGTGAATGTTTCCACTCCCAGAGTTTGCATCTGGGCTGCAAAACTTCCTTTACCCCCCCCCCCCCCCATATTTCCTGGGGAGACCCCCCCTTCCCTACTGCCTTCCCTCCAGTACAGATTTATAAACCCTCTAAGTCATCCTGTTATGTCTCACCCTCTCTACATGTCCGAACTACTTTGTCAACCTCTATTCAGCTTTCTGGATAATACTTTTAGTAATCCTGCACTTCCTAATTGCCAAACTATGAATTTGTTGCACAATACTTACACCACACTTTTTTCCTCAGACACAACATCTCTAGCCTCCTCCTTGCTGCAACATTCAAAGCCCATGATTCAGACCCATATAAGTGTTGGTACCACAGTGCTCTCACAGTCCCCTCTTGGTCTCCACAGATTCCTCAATTCACCACCCATCTTTTTTTTCTTCATTTCCATGGATCGCCTCATCTTTCATATAATCATCCGCCAGTAAGTCCACTCCCAAATATCTGAACACATTCATTTCATTTATACTCCCTCCATGTTAGCATTTCCTTTACTAAATGGAATAAATTGAAGTTAGTGCTACAACCATAGGAAATTTAATGAAATTATGTGAAGGACATCTTAACGAGGACAATAACTACGAATTGGTAATTACACTGATATAGAATTTTTAGAAATTTCCTAACGTCTCCCAATAAGTTTGCCCAAATTCTTCAGTAAAAAAAGTTTGTCTATTTTAATCAGTAATATAGAGTATTAATGCAAGTATTATTCCTCACTATCCAGATAGTTTTATCTTGACCTGTTTCTTGTAGCTACAGTAGTAAGACTAATGTTAATTAGCCACACTTGTATCATAACTTTTAATTATCCTTTCTGTATTAGGCAAATCACTGCATAATCAGCCACTTTACAAGAGGTTTTTAATTCTTTTTTTAATGTATAATAATGCTTTTTCAGCAATACTGGTATGCTGTGATGCTTCTTGGAGTTGGATTTGTAGTATTCATGGGGATTTTCATCAAATGCTGTGCAGTTCACACTCCCTCCAGCAATCCTCGCAAACCACCTGCTCGCTCTATCACAGAAACCCTCAGAAGACCTGTCAACACACTAAGGAGAGTCAAGGTTAGTACAGTAATGCTATTTACTCATGAAATCATAATAACACTATAGCAAGCAAATCACAGGAGATTCATCTGTTTAAATTTGCCTTTGTGATCACACTGAGGCCCATGCTAACCTCCCTATGGTGTATAAATATGTCCCTAGTTGGATGAATTTTATTGTAGCCAGCTGGCCCAGTGGCTTATGCACTGACCTGGAGTTTTATGACTCGCTTGCCATGGGTTTAAACCCCTCACCTGTTCTGTGTTTTTTTATGGTACAGTGGACCCTCGGTTATCGGCCGTAATCTGTTCCAGAAGGCCGGCCTAAAAGCGAAATGGCCTAAAACTGAAATATTTCCCATAAGAATTAATGTAAGTACAATTAATCTGTTCCAGACACACAAAAAATATTTTTTTTAAAGATTAGTTATAGTTTTACATACACAAAACAGTGAGAACTAAAGAAAATAAATACATGAAGAATCAAATCAGTACACATTACATAACTTCACTGAAGACTCTTGTTGGCTTATGGAAGATAGGGAGGAGGAGAGAGGAAGTTGGGGTTATTGTTTGGAAGGGGAATCCCCCTTCATAATGACTTCAGGTAACAAGTCTCTCTCTGGCATTACTTCCTTTCTTTGTCTTTTAATGCCACTAGGACCAGCTTGAGAGTCACTGGACACCTGTTGCACAAAATAACTGTCCAGAGTGGTCTGTTTCTGGGGTCTTTTTAAGATTTCCCCAAAGTGGGACAAGGTTTTGTCACTGAACATGTTGCAGATATGGCTTGGTCAGGGTGGTATTTCTCAATGAAAGCTTGCACCCTACTCCACATTGCACAAACCTCCTTAATCTCTGAAGAAAGCACCTCCTTCCCTCCCTCTTCCTCCTCCTCTGAAGCAAGTTCCTCAGCTGTGGTCTGTTGCTGTTCTAGATGAAGCTCTTGCAGCTCTTCAATGGTTAGCTCTTCTCTGTGGTCCACCAACTCTTCCACATCCTTGCCACTAACCTCTAACCCCATGGACTTCCCCAATGAAACAATACTTTCCACAACAGGCTTAGGGTCCTCATCCACAAACCCTTCAAAATCCCTCTCTTGGACACAATCTGGCCACAATTTTCTCCAAGCAGAGTTCAAAGTCCTGGAAGTCACTCCCTGCAAAGCCTTACCTATAAGGCTTATGCAGTGGAGGATAGTGAAGTGATTCCTCCAGAACTCTCAAGGTCAAATGGGTGTTCGAGGTCACTTCAAAGCACCTTTGAAACACTGCTTTTGTGTAGAGTTTTTTGAAGTTAGAAATGACCTACTGGTCCATGGGCTGGATGAGAGGAGTGGTGTTAGGAGGCAAGAACTTCACTGTGATGAAACTGAAGTCCTTAAACAATTGGTCTTCAAAGTCTGGAGGATGAGCAGGAGTGTTGTCCAGTTCCAGGAGGCACTTGAGTGGCAATTTCTTTTCCAGGAGGTATTTTTTCACACTGTGGCCAAACACATCATCGACCCACTCTTTGAAAATTTGCCTTGTGACCAATGCCTTATTGTTAGCTTTCCACATCACACACAGTTTACTCTTGAAGACATTGTTTTTCTTGAACACACTGGGATTTTCAGAGTGATACACCAGTAAAAGCTTCACTCTGAAATTTCCACTAGCGTTAGCACAGAACAAAAGAGTAAGCCTGTCCTTCATAGGCTTGTATCCTGGCAGTGCCTTTTCCTCCTTAGTAATGTAGGTCCTCATTGGCATTTTCTTCCAGAAGAGGCCTGTTTTGTCACAACTGAACACTTGTTGGGGAAAGAATCCTACAGCCTTTATGTACCCTTGGAACTCCTGCATGAATTTTTCAGTCGCACATTTGTCAGAACTTGCAGCCTTGCCATGCCTTACCTCACTGTGTATGCCACAATGCTCCGTAAATCTCTCAAACCAGCCTTTGCTGACCCTAAACTCACTCACAGCATCATTTGTTCCACACATTTTATTTACAAGATCTGCATGCAACTACCTTGCCTTCTCTTGAATAATTGACTCCACAACACTGTCTCCCGCTAATTATTTTTCGGTGATCCACAAGAACAATAACTTCTCCATATCTTCCATTATAGGTGACCTTTGTTTCGTCATCACATTTACTCCTTTCACCCCATCAGCTTCCTTGATTTGTTCTTTCTTTGCCAGGATAGAAGTGATTGTTGATTTGTTTTTCCCATACATCCTGGCAAGCTCAAGCACTCGAAGGCAACTCATATTTTTCAACAATTTCCTTCTTCAATTCCATGGTGTTTCTCACTTTCTTTACCGAAGGAACTTTACAAGGGATTTTATTTGGGCCCATGGTTACTTATTTCACAGTTACACTTAATAAATAACCAACAAAAATAATGGAAATGTTTGGATGAATAAGCAGAAGCTTCCTCACTTGCCCAGAGACACAGCAAGACTGACCCCAGCGCCTGGTGGTCGGCTGCTGATGTGTACCATACGGCCGATAACCAGAAGCTGAAAAATCGGCTGATAACTGATTTGGCCGATAAGTGGAACGGCCGATAACCAAGGTTCCACTGTTTACTTTTGCTGTTTTTTTTTATTGATATTTATTGTCTACTACCAGGAGAAATTGTTGTAATATTATGCAGAACTGATTTTAGACTTAAGGGGTTACCAGGATTTAATATCATGGATTTCATTGTTTGTCACTAGCGCCATCGACAAGGTCCAAGTCCGAATGTTCAAGCAGGAGCAGCAGCAGCGCCACAAAACCAGCACCACCATCACCATCATCACAACCAGCCAGGACCCTCGCATCCCGGTAGAGGTGGTGAAAGAGAAGCAGAACGTCCAAAACCTCCAGGAGGTAAAAGATCAAGTCGAGCATATAGTGACGATCCCCCTCCGCCATATCCAGGAAACCCAAGACATTCTGTCAGTCCTCCAAACCCAGGGAACTCTGTCACCCCTGCCAATCGTGCTGGACCCACCCGGCATGGCTATGGGGAGGGCCGAGGACATTATAATAGACCCAAAGGTTAGTGTTAAAATTTATACATGAGCCTGAATTCAGCTTAAAAATTTATAGTGTATGTATGACACACGCACACATTGCCTCAATATTTTAACCATCCAAAACCATATAAATTTCTTTGAACTGAATACAGTTAAGCCATCCTATTTAAAGCACAATATATTGATTATGATTTTTTTATTTTAACGAGTTGCGTTGTTTGATTTGGTTTTAGGTGGTGTTTTATTTGTTGTTTTAAGTGCTTGCTTTTTTCTCTTGGAAATACTGCCTTGTGTGTGTATACTAGTGATAGTGCATGTTTTTGTAATGTATCACACAACCCAGTTATGCAGTTATAATATTTATTGGCTACAGAGAACTAATTATACTTAAACACAGTGGACCCCCGACTTACGATATTAATTCATTCCAGAAGTCTGTTCGGGTGCCGTTACCGAACGAATTTGCTCCCATAAGGAATATTGTAAATTAGATTAGTCCGTTTCAGACCCCCAAAAATACACTTACAGAAGCACTTACAAAAACACACTTACATAATTATTTGAGTTGGGAGCTTTTCGTAAGTCGGGGGTCCACTGTATAAATTTTGGTTGCTTGCAATGTGATGACACTTGATGTTAAGTATTTAGTAGAGATATTATGTTCAGGAGACTGCACAGCAGGTTTTCATGAATAGAGCAAACTATCATAAGCTGCTGTTGTGAAGAACGTAAAGTGTTTCACACTTTATGCAGTGGATGCATTCTAGGCCCCCAGCACGTAAACGTGGTGAACTCAGTTTAGCATGTAAAATGTAGGGATATGTTCTGAGATTTATAAAATCCACCTTTATTTCTGAATTAGGTAAAACAAAATTACTGGGAAAGATTGGGTGAGAGGAGGATTTATATAACATGGGCTGCTGGGGCTACTGCATTGCTCCTCAGTTTTAATTAGGAAAGTAATGAGTAAGCAATAGAGTTGTGGGGAGAATGGTTGAGAAGAGTATGACTTGCTTAATACTGGCTAGTACTGTACTAGATATATTAATATAAATTACTGATATTTGAAGGCTTATAATTAATCAAGTGGTGCTGTGCTTGAGGACTGCATACTTTTGATATACCTCTGAAGAGTTTCGAGAGTTATTCTACTCTCTAAGCCCGGCCATGGGCCAGGCTCGTCTGGTGCTTGCCTGGTCATCCAGGCTGTTGCTGCTGGAGGTTCGCTTCCCCACATATCCATCACAGCCTGGTTGATCTGGCACCTGTATAAGAGGAGGTTTTGTGTTTGAGGGACTTAGACTTCCAACAAACATGTGGAGATAAATGGTTTTCATGACTTGATGTGTTGTTGTAGTGTGAGCAAAGTAACATTTATGAAGGGATTCAGGGAAACTGGTTAGCTGGACTTGAGTCCTGGAGGTGGGAAGTACAGTGCCTATACTCTGGAGGAGTGGGGATATTTGCAGTTTCGAACCATAGTATCAGCACCCCTCTGGCAAGACAGTGATGGAGTGAATGATGGTGAAAATGAAATGTTTCATCTCCTTATGGGTTACCCTGCCTCAGTGGGAGATGACCAGTTTGTTAAAAAAATAAAAAAATAAAAATGAACTGACTTGCATGAGTGAGCCGTGTCATGTCAAATTTTGAACCCCCAGTGTGGAGCTTCTACTTTGTCTTTGCTTGGCTCGTACACACTTACATATACAGTGGACCCCCGGTTAACGATATTTTTTCATTCCAGAAGTATGTTCAGGTGCCAGTACTGACCGAATTTGTTCCCATAAGGAATATTGTGAAGTAGATTAGTCCATTTCAGACTCCCAAACATACACGTACAAACGCACTTACATAAATACACTTACATAATTGGTCGCATTGGGAGGTGATCCTTAAGCGGGGGTCCACTGTACTGCTGTTGTGTGCATTGTGTACTGTACTGCTGCTTTTCTTGTAGGATCAAAGGATCAACACGTTTGCTGAGTAACTTTTAAAAACATTGAAAATAAACACCTACCTGTGGATGTCTGTATGTATAGTATTCAGTAACTCATAATATCTTGTAATGCATGATTGATGAAGGCTCAAGTTAAACGTATTTGGGATCAGTCAGTCTGTTTGAAGCAGCCTGAAGTAAGTATTTCGTACTTTCTTAAATTTTGTCAAATAATGTACACAGTATCGGTGGGAAACCATTCTGTTTGAGGGGAGGAGAGGGAAGATGCATCATTGTAGATAATTTGTAATATCAAGTGCATAATTAGTGTGGTTCCTTGATGTTTACACTCCATTATCAGTGGTATATCTTTGAAAAATTGCTAGGACAAGCAACTGACATGGTTAAGCTTTTGGATAAAGTTGAAGTGTGAATATTAATAAAGATTTGTAGATTCATTTAGCAAATAAGTAGGTACTAGACACACACAAAACAATTTAACTTAACAATTTCATCATTGGTCATTGGAATTCTTGGCTTAGCAGCAAAATGTTCAGTAACTTTGCTATAAAATTCTGGTGGCCATTGAGCTGTCAGCAGTAACTGTGTGATTGATCAAGCAAGCACCAGGCAAGGCTGGCCCAGGGCCAGCCTGTGAGAGTAGAAAACTCTCACAAGATCTTTCAAAAATATATCAGGAGGACTAAGTTTTGCAGATTTTCTTGAGCTTTAAAGTTTTTTAAGCAAGTTTGAATTATTTTCAAAGCAGAGGCTAGGCTCAACTTTTTCAGTCATTCAGCTCCATAAAATTTAAAATTTGTTAGTTTTATATTTAAATCTTCTGACACACACAAACTGTGTGGTTCAAAAATATTCATACTTTCATCTTTTGAGAGTACAGTGGACCCCCGCATAACGATCACCTCCGAATGCGACCAATTATGTAAGTGTATTTATGTAAGTGCGTTTGTACATGTATGTTTGGGGGTCTGAAATGGACTAATCTACTTCACAATATTCCTTATGGGAACAAATTCGGTCAGTACTGGCACCTGAACATACTTCTGGAGTGAAAAAATATCGTTAACCGGGGGTCCACTGTATTTGATGGTCAGCAAACTCTTGACTCGCTTCAACATCCAGGAACCTTCTCACAATCAGTGTACATTTGATTGTTTTCTTTTAAGCTAATGTTCTGTTTAGGAATATGCCTGCCATTTTCCATATCTTTCTTATTTGCGAAGTTGAGAGTTCCCCAAAAACCGTTGTAGTAGACCACTTACAGTTTACATACATGTTGAAATTTTACTATATTTTCAGTTCGTGGTTTTAAATGCATTCCGAAGAGAGAACTTGTATTACCTTAGCTTCTCTGATAGTGAACCAAATTTGTTGTACCATCTCTTTCAAAAGCAAAATCTAATACTACTAAAAAAAAAGTTAACAGTGATTATTATTCCAAAATGTTAATTGGTGGATGGCATGTTTTGCTGACAAGTATGGTAGAAAGACACTTGACACAGGGCAAACATTTATTATAAACTTGTGTAGATGAATCAAGCTCTGACTTAACAGTACTATACCCAGACCCAAACATATTCTTTAGTCTTGTGTGATAAGTGGTTAAGAAAAACTGACAAGTTGAAGAATAAGACACTTGTGTGGTAATCTTCGAGGAGACTTTGTCTCACAATGGCTTCTTCGGTCCAATACAAAGAAGAACCGTTCTTTGTATTGGACTAAAGAAGCCACTGGCTGGCGAAACATTTCTGCATTATAGATTCCCAATTATTGCACAAATCTCTTTCCACAACTCTTCTGTCAAGGTTTGCACTACACAAAGTATCTACCATAATGGAAGGTTTTGTCATTCCCCTTCAACTAGTGTTGACAAAAGCAGTATTTAGTTGCAAAAATGAAAATTAAAATACTCAGAGAGGTCTTGAAGCCTTATTTTCCCACCCCTGAACCCGCCCATCTCTAGTGAAGAATCCTGTCAGGTTCTCAGGAAATATGGTTTGCATCGCTAATCTGTCATATTTATAATTCATCATTTTCATATTTTTTGGTAGCATATAGACTCTTTGGAGTTGATAGGATTTCTGAATTTTTATAGCTGTAGGCCTTAAGGCATTAAGTAGCAGTTACTTTATTCAAAAAGTTGAATTCTTCTTGTGAACATATAACCTTTGAGTACAAATATTGTAGACGTCAAGGTAAGGTGTTCATTCTGTGTTTTATGTTCATAAAATTATATAATGGATCATTTCAGGCATTGTAGGGAGAAAAGGAAAATTCACCACCTTAACTTGGGTTAAAAAAAAAAAATGCATCAGTAAACCATTTATGTATGCAAAAAAAAAAAAAAAAAAAATTACATGCATAAGTGTTTAATGCATTTATTTTTGCCAAAGGTAAGATGTTAGGTTCATACCTGCTACCTATAATGTTTCATAAAGGCTATTGAGCGTATTTATAGCTTAAATGCAATTAAGTTCAGTTGCTTATGTGACATTCACATTTTTCTAAATCACCCTTTCATTAGAATTTATTACATTTATTACAAGCACTAGAAAATTTTTTACATAGTGTCTAGTGAGTTTCAAGACAGTCTTTGTCATATTATCTAGCCTATTCCTTTTATTTGTGCAGCTGCACACTAATATCTTGACTGCTATTTAGTCAGAAGATTCACCATAGCCAGAGGAAGCAACAGAAGTCTAGTTCATTAATACAAGTTTGTATCTGTATACATTCCAGGAACATTCTTTGCTTTATCTGCATGTTTTCCCAGTTGTCTTAATTCATTCTTATGATATGACTAATTTGTTTGACTATGCATTATTATTTAATAAGTGTCTTTGTCTCCATGGGGAAGTGGAACAGAATTCTTCCTCCGTAAGCCATGCGTGTCGTAAGAGGCGACTAAAATGCCAGGAGCAAGGGGCTAGTAACCCCTTCTCCTGTATAACTAAGTGTAAAAGGAGAAACTTTCGTTTTTCCTTTTGGGCCACCCTACCTCAGTGGGATAAGGCCGGTGTATTGAAAGAAGAAGTGTCTTTGTTGAAAAATGTATTGCAGTG